ATATCAAAATTCAAAATTTCGACCCGAAAAAAAAACGACAGTGTTACCCCTTTCGTTTTTTTTCATTTTTGGGCGAAAAATTAAGTTTCTCCAATCTTCTCAAAACTCTGGATTATGATAGAGGGCTGTGAGACTTTGACCTGAGTGCAAAAATGGAGGCTCTAGACCCTTCCAGAGCTGAGATATCGAAATTCAAAATTTCGACCCGAAAAAAAAACGACAGTGTTACCCCTTTCGTTTTTTTTCATTTTTGGGCGAAAAATTAAGTTTCTCCAATCTTCTCAAAACTCTGGATTATGATAGAGGGCTGTGAGACTTTGACCTGAGTGCAAAAATGGAGGCTCTAGACCCTTCCAGAGCTGAGATATCGAAATTCAAAATTTCGACCCGAAAAAAAAACGACAGTGTTACCCCTTTCGTTTTTTTCATTTTTGGGCGAAAAATTAAGTTTCTCCAATCTTCTCAAAACTCTGGATTATGATAGAGGGCTGTGAGACTTTGACCTGAGTGCAAAAATGGAGGCTCTAGACCCTTCCAGAGCTGAGATATCGAAATTCAAAATTTCGACCCGAAAAAAAAACGACAGTGTTACCCCTTTCGTTTTTTTTCGTTTTTGGGCGAAAAATTAAGTTTCTCCAATCTTCTCAAAACTCTGGATTATGATAGAGGGCTGTGAGACTTTGACCTGAGTGCAAAAATGGAGGCTCTAGACCCTTCCAGAGCTGAGATATCGAAATTCAAAATTTCGACCCGAAAAAAAAACGACAGTGTTACCCCTTTTTTTTTTTCGTTTTTGGGCGAAAAATTAAGTTTCTCCAATCTTCTCAAAACTCTGGATTATGATAGAGGGCCTGTGAGACTTTGACCTGAGTGCAAAAATGGAGGCTCTAGACCCTTCCAGAGCTGAGATATCAAAATTCAAAATTTCGACCCGAAAAAAAAACGACAGTGTTACCCCTTTCGTTTTTTTTTTTTTTAGGCGAAAAATTAAGTTTCTCCAATCTTCTCAAAACTCTGGATTATGATAGAGGGCTGTGAGACTTTGACCTGAGTGCAAAAATGGAGGCTCTAGACCCTTCCAGAGCTGAGATATCTAAATTCAAAATTTCGACCCGAAAAAAAAAACGACAGTGTTACCCCTTTCGTTTTTTTTTTTCGGGCGAAAAATTAAGTTTCTCCAATCTTCTCAAAACTCTGGATTCTGATAGAGGGCCATGAGACTTTGACCTGAGTGCAAAAATGGAGGCTCTAGACCCTTCCAGAGCTGAGATATCGAAACTCAAAATTTCGACCCGAAAAAAAAACGACAGTGGTACCCCTTTCGTTTTTTTTTTTTTCGGGCGAAAAATTAAGTTTCTCCAATCTTCTCAAAACTCTGGATTCTGATAGAGGGCCATGAGACTTAAACCTGAGTGCAAAAATGGAGGCTCTAGACCCTTCCAGAGCTGAGATATCGAAACTCAAAATTTCGACCCGAAAAAAAAACGACAGTGGTACCCCTTTTTTTTTTTTTTCGGGCGAAAAATTAAGTTTCTCCAATCTTCTCAAAACTCTGGATTCTGATAGAGGGCCATGAGACTTAAACCTGAGTGCAAAAATGGAGGCTCTAGACCCTTCCAGAGCTGAGATATCGAAACTCAAAATTTCGACCCGAAAAAAAAACGACAGTGGTACCCCTTTCGTTTTTTTTCGGGCGAAAAATGAAGTTTCTCCAATCTTCTCAAAACTCTGGATTCTGATAGAGGGCCATGAGACTTAAACCTGAGTGCAAAAATGGAGGCTCTAGACCCTTCCAGAGCTGAGATATCGAAACTCAAAATTTCGACCCGAAAAAAACAACGACAGTGGTACCCCTTTCGTTTTTTTTTTTCGGGCGAAAAATGAAGTTTCTCCAATCTTCTCAAAACTCTGGATTCTGATAGAGGGCCATGAGACTTAAACCTGAGTGCAAAAATGGAGGCTCTAGACCCTTCCAGAGCTGAGATATCGAAACTCAAAATTTCGACCCGAAAAAAAAAACGACAGTGGTACCCCTTTCGTTTTTTTTCGGGCGAAAAATGAAGTTTCTCCAATCTTCTCAAAACTCTGGATTCTGATAGAGGGCCATGAGACTTAAACCTGAGTGCAAAAATGGAGGCTCTAGACCCTTCCAGAGCTGAGATATCGAAACTCAAAATTTCGACCCGAAAAAAAAAAACAACAGTGGTACCCCTTTCGTTTTTTTTTTTTCGGGCGAAAAATGAAGTTTCTCCAATCTTCTCAAAACTCTGGATTCTGATAGAGGGCCATGAGACTTAAACCTGAGTGCAAAAATGGAGGCTCTAGACCCTTCCAGAGCTGAGATATCGAAACTCAAAATTTCGACCCGAAAAAAAAAACGACAGTGGTACCCCTTTCGTTTTTTTTTTTTTTCGGGCGAAAATAAGTTTCTCCAATCTTCTCAAAACTCTGGATTCTGATAGAGGGCCATGAGACTTAAACCTGAGTGCAAAAATGGAGGCTCTAGACCCTTCCAGAGCTGAGATATCGAAACTCAAAATTTCGACCCGAAAAAAAAACGACAGTGGTACCCCTTTTGTTTTTTTTTCGGGCGAAAAATGAAGTTTCTCCAATCTTCTCAAAACTCTGGATTCTGATAGAGGGCCATGAGACTTAAACCTGAGTGCAAAAATGGAGGCTCTAGACCCTTCCAAAGCTAAGGTTATCGAAACTCAAAATTTCAACCCGAAAAAAAAAAAAAAAACGACAGTGGTACCCCTTTCGTTGTTTTTTTCGGGCGAAAAATGAAGTTTCTCCAATCTTCTCAAAACTCTGGATTCTGATAGAGGGCCATGAGACTTAAACCTGAGTGCAAAAATTGAGGCTCTAGACTCTTCCAGAGCTGAGATATCGAAACTCAAAATTTCGACCCGAAAAAAAAACGACAGTGGTACCCCTTTCGTTTTTTTTTTCGGGCGAAAAATAAAGTTTCGAAATTTTGAGTTTCGATATCTCAGCTCTGGAAGGGTCTAGAGCCTCCATTTTTGCACTCAGGTTTAAGTCTCATGGCCCTCTATCAGAATCCAGAGTTTTTAATATAAATTTCTGGTGTGAGGGCTCTAGTGTAGATGTGGAAAAATCGCAGTATTGGAGACCTGCTGTCTTCCTGTCTTCATTTCTTCTTTTTAACATTTAGAGCATCTTATGAAATGTGATGTTACATAAAAGTTTACTAGAGGGTGCAAATCAAAACGTAGGGTCATGTCTTTGAGGAGTGCCATTTGCAAACCATTGGAAAATGTATTTTAAGATTTGCTACTTGATGAGAAGTGTATGGTTCATTGTCTTCAAAATCTTTGTTTTTAAGCATTAAATTTAATGAAATACCTGCTAAAGAAAAGGTGAATTCTCCTGTTAGCTTTGTACAGAATCCCGATGTGTTTTGCTGTGTAAATGCTACACGGATATCTTTTTATGTCTTGCGTCTTTTGCAGTCTCGCTCGCATCCAACAGTGTTCAAGTGTGGTGCTCAAGTTAAAAGACATTCAACTTTAAAAAAAAAACCCTCTCGAAACACTCCCCCCTCAACAAAAACGTTGTTTGTTAATGGCTTTTTAAAAAGAATTAAACAGATTATCTTTCTTTTTAAAAAGCAGCTATACTACTATAAATGCATTCCTATGACCTAATTTGATCTTCTTTTGTCAGGAGTGTCTTTGAAAGACCCATGAAGTTGCTTGACAAATGTATTTTTAGGGCCCGAGCACTAACGGTGCAAGGCCCCTATTGAAACTGTGTTAGGATTATTATTATTTTTTTTTTTTTTTTAGGGCCCGAGAAAAGTGAAATTTTGAAAAATTTTGTCAGCTTTGCGTTCACCAGCAAGTAGTTGGTCTTAGAGCCATAAGTAAAATAAACAAAAAACACTATACTTATTCTACATAAAGATAATAGGTTTTTCTTATTTTGTGTTAAAGGTTCTATATTATGTAACTATTTTTTTATAAGATGAATCCTTTTTTTATTCCCTGTTTGAAGGGGTTGTAATCACACATTGCAACGATCCACTTTCGGGTTTTGCCATTACCTCTGAAGGCCAATATTCTTATACGTGGTCTCCGGGTTGGATTTCCTGCGAAATCCATCAGATGTGACGTGCATGCGCGCTCCCGAGCCTCTCTATCATAGAGTCTATCATGCGACCAACAGCACTTCAGCTGACGACATGGAGTGTGATAATCCCCCAAAACGTCCTGCCTTCAGCACAACACAGACTCAAACACAAACTCCACATAAATATAAACAACAAAAAAAGTTTTATCTGCTCAAGTTCGTCAGGCAAAACGTGAATCTGATCGATTCTGGATGAAAACGCAGATCAACATAGTAAACTCAAGTGAAAATTAACAAGGTAAACTACATGAAACATGACATGAATACAAAAAATAATGTTCCAGGATAACATTAGTATAACATTTAGTATGTAACTTATTTTATTTACTAGATCTACTGACTAACGTCGTCATCCCACTACCATATTGTTTATACACATTTCCAGACAAGTTCAGTACAGTATTGTTACACTGAAACTGTTCAGTTTAGTTCACTAACCGTTTTCGTTATCATATTATACATTAAGATACACGAATAGTTAGAGAAATGGCTTATGCTGTATAACATCACATGTCGGCTAAATGCAGTTTATTGTAACATTGTACGAGCACAGAGCATTAGTTCAACGTCAAGCTGATAAAAGTAAGTTAGGCTATTATTGTACCTGCAGTGGGAGTTTACATTAGTTTCCAGCATGTTGTGTGATGATTTCACCGTTGCGTTGAGAGTCTCCATGTGGCTGGTAGTGATTGCTCGCTCTTGAGATTGAGCACGCACACGAGCGCACTTGTTGCATTCTGAAAAATCACCACTAGAGGTTGCTAAAAATCGCATACAGCGCCTTTAAAGAAAAACACAGTAGATCACATTAGCATGAGGATTATAAAACAAACAGAAATCACACTGACCAACCTCTAACCCAAAAAATATTTATTTCTTTTTCAGTCAAGAACCACATGTGAATTCAGAACATGACTGTTGCAGAGTGTTTGGTTTGTGGAACACTGTTAATAGGAGGACAACGACAAATGGGACAAACCCCAGTTTGGGCTGCACATGCTACCAGAATATCTGCCTTAGTTTTAATTTGGCTGTTCACATTTAAATGTAACCATACTTAAAGTACATGTACAGTATGGTATGTAATGCAGGTGGAATTTCAATCACAGAAGACTCTTAAAGAAAGCTGATTGAAATCTACCACAACAACCAAGGCCCAAAAGTTCAAACATATAGCTGATGCTCCTAAAAGACCATAAGCTTTAAATGTTAATTTTTATCAGCCTCTGCTTTTTTCTTGTCCTTCTTCTTCTTTTCTTTTTTCTTCATTTTCTTCTCCTTCTTCTTTCTCTTCTTCTCACTCTTTGTTGATTCTACATCATCGTCTGCATCATCAATTTTTCCCTTTTTCTCTTTGGATTTTTCTTTACTCTCATCCTTACTGCTCTCAGGCTCGTTTTTGAGTTTAATGTCAGTAGGATGAGGGCTTCTTTCGTTTCTGTTGCGCTTTCTGTCAGGACTGCGTTCCCTGTGTTCGTGGTGAAGCCGTGAGGATTTCGCCCTACTGGATGGGCTCTCCCGTCTGTGAGATGATGTGTGATGCTGTTCTCCGTGTCTCTTAGCATCCCTGTGCTGCTCCTGTGAACCTGTTGTCTGAAAAATGAAAGAGAGGCTGATGTTTCTTCACCCACAATTCAATGTTCTGCATTACAGATTTACAGCCATTTTTTTTTATTAAATGGTAAATGGCATTTATAATGTCACCTTGTTTTTATCACTGCGGCTGTGACTTGCTACATGTCTTTCGGCGCTATTCATATCCCCGAAGAACTCTTCACAGCGCTGGCAGAAGAAACCCATCACTGGGATCAAATCACCACTACCTGCAATAAAGATACATGTTGAATTTGAACTAAATTGTTCAAAAAGAACAATTGTACATAAATAAATACTTGTACAGAACAAAAAAAAAAATACTTCAAGTAAATACAAATTAGTTGAACATAAATAAAAACAAGATTATAATAAGGTTCATGGTTGAAACAAACATATTTGTATTTAACAAACATCAAAAATGCTAGTTATTATCTTCTAATAAATAAAATAATGAACAGTTCTATAAAAAAATTTTTTAAAATGGTTTAAATACATATTTTACTGTACAAAAACAAAAGTGGTATTCTACCGAACATAAGTTTCCTTAAAGGGTTAGTTCACCCAAAAATGAAAATTAAGTCATTAATTACTCACCCCCATGCTGTACCAACCCCGTAAGACCTTCGTTCGTCTTCGGAACACAAATGAAGATATTTTTGATTAAATTTGAGAGCTGTATTACTACCACATAGGCTCCTAAGGGACTGCCTCTTGACGGCCCAGAAAGTCAATAAAGAAAATGTTTAAATATCCCAAGTGACTACCGTGGCTCAACTATATGTTTATCAAGCGACGCGAATACTTTTTGTGCGAAAAAACAAACAAAAATAACGAGTTTATTCGACTATTTCTTTTCTTCCTTGTAGGCCAGAACGAGACTTCCTTAGATTTCCACGACGCATGCGCGAGAATTGCGATCTGAAGTAGTGTAAGCTGGTGTGAGCAGATCGCAAATCTCGTGCATGCGTCGTGGAAATCTAAGGAAGTCTCGTTCTGGCCTACAAGGAAGAAAAGGAATACGTTATTTGTTTTTTCGCACAAAAAGTATTCGCGTCGCTTGATAAACATATAGTTGAGCCACGGTAGTCACTTGGGATATTTAAACATTTTCTTCATTGACTTTCTGGGCCGTCAAGAGGCAGTCCTTTAGGAGCCAATGTGGTAGTTATACAGCTCTCAAATTTAATCAAAAATATCTTCATTTGTGTTCCGAAGACGAACGAAGGTCTTACGGGGTTGGTACAGCATGGGGGTGAGTAATTAATGACTTAATTTTCATTTTTGGGTGAACTAACCCTTTAATAATGTGAGTATCCAGACAGTTGACTGTAGCCTTTGACTTCTATAGTAGGAAAATAAATAGTCATTGTCCACAGTCAACTGTCTGGTGGTTACCCATATTCTTCTAAATATATTTTGTGTTCAGCTAATAAAATGAGGTTGAATAAATGCTGATAGAATTTTCATTTTAGGGTAAACCACCCCTTTAAAAGTTGCGTGGATCATGATAATCATTTAATACCTTCCTGTTTCATCAGACCCTCCAGTTCCTTCACCAGGTACTCTTTCCGTTTCTTTTGAATCTGTTTCTCTCGTCTCTCTCGCTCCTTCTCACCCATCTTCTAAAACAGTCACAGGAGTTCACAGTTCACAAGACTCTTGGGAGCTTGTCATAATACTGGGGTGATAGTGTTAATAAAGACCTCTACCTTCTCCTCTCGCTTGGATTCTTGAGTAGAATGGCTGCTTCCAGAGCGATTACTCCTACTGTCATCTGTTTTGGATGCTGAAAACAAGATACTAAAAGTTGAACGCATTACAAGCCCAGGTTTGCTGTGAAAAGTTCTAGGTCTTTTTATCTTTTTTTTGAGATGGCTGACAGAACACAACTGCTATGATGCAATGCTACAATATACTTTCAACAACTTCCTGACACAATCCTGCAAACCTAAAAGATGAGTTCATTCAATTCCAACCAATTGTAGTACAGATTCTAATCAAACTTTGATTTATAAATAAATTCTGCTTTGTGCAAACTTAAAGTTTTTGAAAAACCCCTTTTGAGAAGATTTTTTTAAACAGTTTGAATACATCCTGCTGACATGAATTGAATATTCAGTATTCAAAACTCTGGTGATGTTATCATAAAATTCACTTTGGATAAAGGGGTCAATTAAACAAATGAAATTCATAGTGCAAAACATGCTGGCTCTGACCTCTGGACAGTGCTTGCAGCGCCTCCAGGGCTGGTTTGAGCAACGGGAACGAGGCGGCCGCTCCTTGTCCTTCATTTTTCTCCTTTAGTCTGGCAGCCATTTTACAGATATCAGTCATGCCTGGATTCAGACCGATGGTCCTCAGGAGGTTTTTCACCTTCTCACATTCCTCTGGAGTGACTTTCATCGTGCCCAAACCAGCAGGCTGCACGCTGACAGGCATGCCGTGTGCTTTGGGTTCCTGGAGATTGTGAGTCTGCTGTTCTTTACTGAGATGGTGAACTGGAGACCTTGCGGATCTTGTCTGGGCCAACGGGACAGTCACAGCTTGAGGTTTGGATCTCTCCTCCTGCTCTCCATACAGGAATTTCTCTTCGTCTTCAACACTCTGGAATGAAGGCTTGGATTCAGGCAGCTGGTTGGGTGTGTTCCAGGATAAGATATTGGAAACGCTGCTGCAGTCTCCGCCAGCCCTCTCATGAGGAAGCAGGGCACCATAACAGAGTTCAGCAGAGGTTTTAGGTTCAAACCTCGGCTCTGGGTTCTGGAAGCCTCCAACTGCAGACTGATTTCCCAGAAACATTCCCCTTGTGTCATCAGTACTCTGTTTAGAATGGAAGGGATGAGAATTCACATTACGTCTGGTGCAAATTATGAATTTTAAATGGAGTGGAAACGCCGGCAAGGTAAAACAAACATAAATGACAAGCGTCTCAACAACAAAGAAAAGCAAATGTATTTTAAAAATCAATTAATGTGACTAGTAAATGTAATCTAGTTAAGCTCTCTTTGCACTCAACTTGATTTCATTTAAATGTACTCAATCTAAAAACAATGAACACACACACATACATAGAATTATAAATTCATAAATATCATTCAATTTTTAAAAGATTAATAAAAGGTTAAGCCAAACTACATAATTAATGGTTTCTTTTTTTAACCTTTTAATTAAGCGTGTTTAATTAATCACGCGGATCAAAAATCTATCCCAACAGCTCTAAAATATAAATCACTATAGGTCTCTCATTAATAATACATTTTTTTTTTGTGATAAAAAAATGAAGTAACTTCAATCAACAAAAATATTGTCACATCATGTCAATGACCAACTAACACATAACGGTGGTGCGCACCTGGTCTCTAAGGAGGGCATTCTTGACAATAGGCAGGTGTTTCTCTAGATCTTTGTTCTGTAGGATCTGTCTTAGTCCATGAAATAGATCAGGCATGGCGCTAGCACCAAGGCTCACTCCACTGCTGGTGCTGCTAGAGCTGTGATTGCCTTCTGCGGTCGCTCTGTAAGACTGTTTGGTCTGACTGGGGCTCAGACGTGACTGACTCTTACTGCTGGTTACGCTCTTCCCGTGACTGCGGCTGCGGCTCCTCGCACGACTTTTGGCCCTAGGGCGGCTTTTAGCTCGACTGCGACTACGGCTGCGTGTTCTGCTGCGAGCCCGACTCTTTCCGCGACTCCGAGCTCGACTACGACCCCTGCTCCTTCCACGACTTCTGCTGCGACTGCGTGGACGGCTCCTCCCTCTGCTCCGACTTTGCGCTCGGCTGGGATGCTTGTCTGCAGTGCGATCACTGGTGTCACTTTTATCTACTGCCAGCTCAATCCGGTCAGTTGCCTGCAGGATTCGGAGAAACTCCTCTGCCTTTTTCCTTCATTGTAACACATTGAAATGGATTTAGGGTTAATCAACAGTTTATACGTACACACATGTTCAAAAGTTTGGGGTCAATCCGATTTTTACTCAGCAAGGAGTATTCAATTGATAAACACAATAGTTTATAATGTTACAAAAGATTTTTATTTCAAATAAAGCCATTACCGGTATTAAGTGTCTAGCATGTTATACGTTTAGCAACAATTGTTCTAATCCTAATTGATGGATTGTGTAGCTTTCATTTCTCAGACAGCCATGTAGTTAGACACATTGGGGCCATATTCCAGGATGACAATGACAAGATTTATCAGGGCAGGCTTAAATTGTAAAAGATAAAAGATTGTTGTAAACATACAAACAACTCTGAATCTCTTTGTTTAGTTTCTCATACCTGACTTCTTGGTTTTGCTCATCTAGACTTTGGGTTGACCAGCTTTGTGAAGACTGACCAAGCTGATGCTGATTCGAAGGTGTGAGCTGAGAGCTGATGATCGTGGATCCAGTCTGGTCAGCAGTGTGGCTGGTGAAGGGTCGGTTCTGCAAGAGGGAGACAGCAATGAAAAGACTACAGAACTATCACAACATACTGACAAACATGTCAATAAAGATATGAAAGATTCATTTAATATGAGTGCAAAAGTCCGTCAAATAAATCTAGAGAGAGAAAGATTTTGAAATCCAACATTTTTAAACGAAGAAAAGTATGACAAATGTTTGCAAGTCATCAATCAATCAAGCAAATTAGTGACGTTGAAAATGCATGCTTAAAGTAGTTTTAAATTCACTATGGCTTGTAATACTGCAGGACAAACATTCAAAAAGAAAATGCATCACTTGCATGAAATCCAAAGATATTTAATACTATTAATAAAATATAAAAATAAAACTATTCCATCAGGTGAATCTGGACACGCTGTTACAAGACAAAAATGCTGATAATACCTCGTAGAATGATTCTCTGTTGTAGTTTTCATTCCCTGTTCCGTACGGGCGTCCCGGAGGAGGACCCGGCTGTGGAGCGCAGTATTGAGGGCCTGGAGGAACCCCAAAAGGAGGACAGAACGGCGGAGGTCTAAATGATGCTGCGGGGTGTCCGAAACCTGACGGAGGTACCGGTGCTCGATGGTAGTCCGGGTTCGACGGACCTCGGTACATTTTCGTGCTTTGATATGTGATCAAATCCTGTGTAGCTACAACGAATTTATTTTCCCATTCACTCTTGAGCTCCTGTGTGTCTACTACTTGAAACTGATCGGGCGCAAGCCACAGCGCCGCATGCAGGACTGGAACCACAGCGCAGATCACAAAAGTGTCTCCGTTCCAATGCCTGTTCAAAACTCTTTCACTAACGTTATTTAAAATACTTTTCAAAGTAGTAAAAATTAAAAATGCACACTTAATTAAATAATTTAAATAAATAGTTTTTTTAATTCTATGTACATTTACATTTATGGATGTGATTACATCAAATGATTCATTTTATAAAATTTGAATTGAATTGCTTTTTATCTTTAAGATAATTGGTGAAGCCAAAAAGTACATTTAGGACGGAATTATAATCCGGCATATTTATGGTCGGCTAAAAGAAGGAGGACCCCATTATGCCAACCTAGCATTGCAGTCATTACGGGGGGTGATTTACTATGGAGTTTACCGACATTCTTGATTCTTTGGAGGACCTGGGGTAGGTGAATCAAACCTCCCGTTATAAACTTGTATTCTTTTATTTATTATCGCTTGTGTCACCCGGTCAGATTTTCGGTTTAACGGCATAAATCTGACCTCGTGCACGCATGTCCCTGCGTTTGCCGGTGTTCTCAAGATCTGAGACACAGAACCGCATACCCTATTATGAACAGCTGCTAATTGAATCTGCTTTAAGTTGTTCGTTTCAAATATTTTGCACTCTGATCAGTTTTTAGTCATATTATATCCAAGCGAGGGATATTGGCGCATGTATCTGACAGCATGATTTCTATAATCAATGATTTGATTTGTCCGTGCAGCGTCAGCAGTGCTCAAATATCTCCAGTGCTTTAAATAGCCTGAGTCATCATAGCCTAAATGAACAAACCTCACTCATAACATTTCCATTTCCCGAAGTGTCAGACGAATTTACAAAAACATGGGTCCATAGACTGTTCTGTTCTAGAATCAGGGCAGAACTATTGGGGATGGGTGGGTTTTTGTATAAGAATGAAGACCTTTAGATGTAAATTTATACCAGAGCTAAGATCTGTTAGATATTGAACTTTTGCTACGTCGTTGGGTTCACGTTCTCCCAAATAGCAGAGAAAGTGTAGAATGACCCAGGACCGTCCTGAAAAGCAAACATTGTCAAATAAGCTGCTCAGAAAAGTGTGTATGTGTGTGTTTGCAGATACCAGGGGCCACTCCTAGAGGAGGGAGCACTTGAGACAGCGGTGACTGGTGGTGCTGCGTCTCCAGAGTTCACAAAAGTGTGTGCTTGGCTTGTGTCTGAGCTGAAGCTCTATTGCAAACTAGAGGAGAATGTGCAGGCAACCAACAGTGAGTGTGTTCCCGCACACATAATCTATGGCAGTGGTTTTCAAACTGGGGTCCTGGGGGCCTTGAGTTGGTGCTAGTCAGATGTTGGTTTGGGTGTGTCATGTGCAGGTCCGAGCGAGGCTGAGGGGTTTCAGCTGGAGATGAGTGGTCTTTTGTCTGAGCTGTGCTGTCCATATCCTGCTCTCATCACTGGAAAGGTCACAAAACGTCTGCTGAATGCAAACAACTGCCTGTTACTGCTAGGTCTGTAAAGAAAACCATCTGCTCATTCCGGTGCTCCTTTATAAAACTTTTCAAAATGGGTCTGTTGGGGAATTTAATTACTTGAAATAAATAAATATATATACTATGTTATTCCAGGCTTCTTGATCTCTGAGCTTGAGTCATCCAGGATGAGCCTGGTGAACCATCCCCAGAAGAAGGTGCAGGAGAGTAATGTTTTCATAGAGCTGAAGGGCATCTGTATGGCTCTGGGCATGTCCAAACCGCCTGCCAACATCACTATGTTCCAGTTCTTCAGTGGGATTGAGAAAAAGGTGAGGTTTATTCAGTGGTGATTTATTTCATGTTATACATTTACTGCATGCCCTTTATAGTCTATGTGCATGCCCACACATTGTGTCACTAATGTATTTGTGCATAAAACCTCTGTGTGGACACTTTCACATTTTTGTTAATCTGGGATTATTTGACCTGCCAAACCGTACGCATTTTATGAAGCGGATGTGCATTTTGACCTCAAAGTATGCTGGTACGATTTGTTGTACCACTCAACCAGGTGATGCCTCTGTGCACGCACAGTCCTCAAATCAAGCAACAGCAAAAAAAGCGGAGTTCGACCAATCATAGCGCTGGGTTCATTCCCCAAATAGCAAGCAGGAATGATTGACAGATGCTTAAGGCCTATCAGTAAAAACCGACAGCAATAAAGAATCCCGCTCGATCGGCCGAGTTCATAAGCGAGGACAATAGTCACAGTACTTCTGACTCATGAAGAGAAACGGGCTGGGCTCGATGTGGAAAGTTGAAATATTGTTTTTAGTTAACTTAATCTGGATTCGATGATCACATGTGAGTGATAGCAGTCGCATGGGTTATCTTAAAATACTCCATCATTCAGGGTCACTCAGATAAGGGGAAAACATAATTTAGCCGTGCAAATTATAAAATGCTTAAAGGGATAGTTCCCCCAAAAATCATTTACTCACCCTCAAGTTGTTCCAAACCTCTATGTGTTTATTTGTTCTCCTGAACACAAAGGAAGATATTTGGAAGAATGTTTTAATCAAATAGATCTCAATCCCCATTGACTTCTATAGTAGGAAAAAATACATGCATACTATGGTAGTCAATGGGGATTGAGATCTGTTTGATTAAAACATTCTTCCAAATATCTTCCTTTGTGTACAGCAGAACAAATAAACACATTGAGGTTTGGAACAACTTGGGGGTGAGTAAATAGTGACAGAATTTTCATTTTTGGGTGAACTATCCCTTTAAGTATTACTGAAGAAATGAATTGATATGGCTAGTGATTTATGAAAGTTCTGTGATTTGTGTGGATTACTGAAGTGTGAAGAATATTTTCTGCTAGCAAAATAAAGCATGTACACATTTTTTGGTCATTGTTTGTTTGTACGTTGAGCAAATATGTTCCAATCAAATGTATTTGCCCCTCAGCTGAAGGAAGCTTTGGCCAAGGTCCCTTCATCTCATGTAGGAGAACCACTACTGAAGAAACCACTGGGTCCTGTACATTGGGTAAGCTCTGAATTTGATTTTATATTCTAAACTGATTAAATTACACATTTTAGATTTGAACACTGTGTTAAATGTTTTTGTTTAAATGCCTTTTACCTCCAGGAGAAAATTGAAGCAATAAACCAAGCACTTGTAAATGAGTATGAAGTCAGAAGGAAGATGTTGCTGAAACGACTGGATGTGACCGTGCAATCTTTTGGGTGGTCAGGAAGAGCCAAGGTACCTGAATCTCCCTTTTACTTTCTGTATAACATAAAAACAGGTTTACACTGATTAAGCTACAAGAGTGAGCAATGTGATTTGAGTGAAATTTTAAAATCACTCTGCTTTGTAATTCTGTGAAGACACATGCTGATAAACTTTCAAAAGTGTACCAGCCTCTTCGTTTGGCGCTGGCAGCTAAAACCAGAGTGTCTGTGGCCCACCTGTTTGCTGCTAGAGAAGATTTATCAAAGATCCTGAGAACCAGCAGTGGTCGCATCAGGGAGAAAACGGCCTGTGCCATTAACAAGGTGAGTTAGTTTTGAATGCATTTTCACTTTCAATTCATGATCCTTCAGAAGTCATTCTAATATGCTGCTTTGGCTTTGGTGCTCAGGAAACATTTCTTATCAATGTTGAATATTTTTTTGGAAATGGTGATAATTTTGTTTCAGGATTGTTTGAGGAATAGAGAGTTCAATAGTACATAATGTATTTGAAATGGAAATTTGTTTTCGTTACATGATAAACGGCTTGACATTAAAGGAGTAGTTCACTTTAAAAAAAAACTTTTGCTGATAATTTACTCACCCCCATGTCATCCAAGATATCCATGTCATTCTTTCTTCAGTCGAAAAGAAATTTAGGTTTTTGATGAAAATGTTCCAGGATTTTTCTCCATATAATGCACTTTACTGGTAACCAAACGGTTCAAGGTCCAAAAGATAGTTTCAGTGCAAAGTGTTCAAAGAGCTTTAAACGATTTCAGACAATGAATAAAGGTCTTATCAAGCGAAACGATCGCTCATTTAAAAAAAAAAAGTTTTTGTTCGTGACTCTCCTGTTCGAACTCCTTCATGAAAATGAACGAATCTTTTTTCGTGTCATTTGGTTCATTCAACGAACGAAATGAACAAGTTGACTCTGGAAAAGATTTGTTCGTTTTGATGAACGAGTTCGAATAGGAGAGTCACGAATGCGCATCACAAAACAGAGCAAGGCGAGCATTTGAGCTTATAAAACTTAAACTTTTTTTTTTTTTTAAATGAGCGATCGTTTCGCTTGATAAGACCCTTATTCATCGTCTGAAATCGTTTAAAGCCCTTTGAACAGTTTGCACTGATCAATTTTATTCATGCTTGCTGAATAGAAGTGTTAATTAAAAAAAAACCTTACTCATCCCAAACTTTTGTACGGTAGCGTACATACTAGTGAATATTCTTATGTTTTTAAGGTACTGATGGGTCGTGTGCCTGACCGAGGAGGGAGACCCAATGAGATCGAACCCCCACCTCCAGAGATGCCTACGTGGCAGAAACGGCAAGATGGTCCACAGGGGGGTGGTGGAGGACAGTCCTACGGTGGTGGTGGTGGTGGAGGAGGAAGAGGTGGTGGACGAGGTGGTTATGACCAGCAGCAGGGCAGCCGAGGAGGTCATGACAGAGGAGGTGGTAGAGGTGGGAGAGGAGACCACCGTGGGGGTAAAGCTCAGGGGACCTGGCAGGACGGCTCTGGTGGAGGTGGATACCAGGGTCATTACCAGGATGGTGGATATCGAAGCAGTTATGGAGGAGGAGGAGGAGGCGGAGGAGGAGCTGGCTACCATGGAGGCCAGCAGGGGTCTGGATACCAAGGAGGAGGCTACCAAGGAGCCCAGCAAGGACCGGGGTACACAGGAGGAGGCTACCAAGGCGGCGGTGCGGGTTTCCAGCATGAGGGCTACCATCAGGACGGTGGTCGACATCAGGAGAGAGGTGGAAGGGGCGGTCGTGGGGG